GTACATTTCCAAACGGTTTTGCCGATAGTGAACAACAGTCAACATGGATTTCGAACAAAACGGATTCATAATCTGGCCGTCCGAAACCATTGCCAGTAAAATTCAAGGCAACTTGACTTTGTAATGTTGTAGAAAAAAATGTGTTGATCGAAATTAATTCACCGACATTTTCTTTTAAATTTTCAAATTCGTCACGGTGCATCAATTGTCCACGATATACCGTAATAGACGAAAGATCTTCGCGTTGCTGCAGCCGAACATCTCGCAATTGATTATATAAATGTTTGATAAAATATCGGAATTTGTATATTATATTTATATCTTGTATTCGAAATGCTTTGTTCAGTAAACGATATAAAAATGAGTTTCGTGTGTACCACGATATGGCGTGTTCGGCAATGTATGTTTTATAAAAATCTAAGATTCTTTTTAGTTCAATTTCGTCACCATCATATTGCGCTACACACTCATAAAACATATCATCTTTGGCCTTGTCAGAATATTCGCCATGAAGTAAAGCATCAATTAATAATTGAAACCACATGAATTGTGCACTTTGTTTATTTAAATCCTTCATACTCATTTCTTTCAAATTTAAATCATCATACTTGTGAAAAATATTCAACGGTAAAATGTCTTTTAGAGATAATTTAACATCATCATTGATTTTAGCTAAGAGTAAATCAATATCAGTAAATACACCACGAATTTTCGATGCATAATTTTTATTCAAAGCCCATTCTTCATGTTCGACTTTATTGAAACAATATATATAAATATGCAACAACTGTGGAAAATGATAAATATTTGGCACCAGTTTTTGTCCTTGAGAACCGCATGTAATAAAAACGACGTTTTCAGTTTGAATAGTTTTGATGTAATCAAGACATTCATCCGCATCACTAAATTTTACATTATAATTGATGATTGGGCTCAGTTGAGCTCTTCGATCACAAGATGTTTGATCGCAATCAGCATATTTAGAGTCAAGCCACACAGCAGTGAACTGCTCGTGATTCTGAGTCATGTTTTGCGAACAAACCAATATACAATTATAAATAAATTCTTTCCAACATAATACCAAAATAAAAACATAGCGTGTCAGAATTTTGCTTGTTCTATTCTCTCTGTTCTGTTTATGAATACTGGCTGCTGCAGGAACAAATCAAATTGAAAAGACGACTGTCGCTATGGTTATTTTATGAATTTGCTGTGTGACTGTACACTTCTTACCATTAGCTACTCGCATATCTTTTCCCTCAAAATCCATACGTGCACGTCTAACTACATTTGGACGCCAGAGCCTTTTCGTATATAAATGTCATCTTAGTTTCACCTGTGTAAGAACGAGTATTATTTGAGTGTTAGTCTCGAGACTATCGTCCAGACGTATAAGAGAGAAATTCTATTTAGAATAATCAAACTCATTCGTTTCCTTTATACAGTGCAAAGTATATATTGTCTAAATATTGATTTTTTTGCAGTAATTAATAAATAACAGTTGAGTGATAGCTTATGCACACTGCTAAAAGCATACGATTAATTTATGTATATTATACTGTATACAGGCAATAGCTTTAATATATTTTTTTATTCTGAATAGGTGGAAATGTTTTTTAAAGATGATCGTATGCGAAAACAATATTATTAGGTTAATTAAGATGTAGGATAATTACGTTGAAATTAATAATATTTTGTTAAGCTTCCATATTCCATCGTTGACTGAAAAATATTATAAAGTCAATTTATAATATGTTTAAATTGCATTTTTTTCTCATTGTGAATGTTTCAGTTGTTTTGTTAATGAATACCTAAATATAATGCTTGGATCACCAAAAGTAAATGAAACTCAAATATATGGCTGTCGAAATCATGAAAAAATTTTATATGAAAAAGCTGTCTTTTGAGTTATTATTTATCAAATAGAAAGGATTCAGATAGTATTGACAAATTTTAAGATTGTGTAATAATAAGTATTGAATATAGTTTAGGAAAGAAAAGACATTAATATTATTAATTTGTTTATATTTCATGATTTTTGTCTTCTTGTAACATATAGAACTGTAATTAATTTGAAAATAATGGTTTAAAATACAAATTACTTTTAGAAATATTTCGAATATTTTCTTTTAGGCTATTGGTATGGATAGGATTTTTTTTAGTTGATTATTTCTAATTTAATTAAATCATCGAAGAGTTTTTTCATATAATGGGCACAATATATGAGTGTTTCCATGGGAATTCCACCATAAAAAAAAACACAAATTATTTTAATAATAACTCATCAGTAAAATAGTTTCATTGTTATCATTTTCTGATACGAAAAATTGCCATAAAATATTAGCTTACTATTTTAACGCAATAACGAAGAGAATAGCAACGCTCACATCCACATCTACGTCCTGAGTAGCCAAAAATACATTAAAGTATGTCAAGTAAAACAGTTGTGGTTACGCAGGTCTCCACTTCTGGCACAAACATGTTTTTTCTCTTTTTGGTCCAATTCATTCTATAAAGTTTATAAGCATTCCTTCTCTTTTCTTATATCTTGTTGATTTAATAAGCTAAATTTATTTACAAAGGGAGCGTCTTGGATTGACAAATTTCAAAATAGATAAAAGCAATAAGTCTAGTGACATCTCATTTTAAGTTTCATCGACATAATAAAGTCATACAATGCTTTTCGAAACACAGTTCCGCCGCACAATGTGTAAACATAAAATGTTATACCATTTGATATATCGTATACCAAAATGGATAAATCATATACGAAGGCATTAACGGCTAATACCACCGGAGATCCATCATCACCAGAGAATGATGAATAAAATTTGTCAAGACACAACGGAAGAGTGAAAATGCCAATGAGAATAACTTGAGCAAAAAGCATTCGAAGAAGGCTATGTTCTGTTTTCTGTCTGAATTTTCCCGCTGAATTTTCACTATTTGATGCCACCGGCCTATTCGTAGTAGCTCCAACACTCCCTAATTGTAATGTTCGAATACGACGTTGAGATTGACGTACGTTTGAAATAACTAATAAACCAAATACAAACATGAGAAATATAGGAATTGATACTGTAACTATAGCAAGTGATAGATCAGTGAGATAACGGCATACAATCGTTTTACCATAACATTTCAGAGGAGTATCGATCAGATTGGCTTCATAACAGTACAATTGTTGAGCATAGAGAGCAACTGAAAGAATGACAATAATTGCTGTCCAAAGTTTGGCATTCTTCAGTGAGCTTTGTTGTCGACGATGAGCATCCATACTTGATAATAGCCATCGATCAGTGGTGGCTAATACCATTAACCACGTAGCGATTGTTCTTGTTGAGAAGACAAGAAAAGCGCGAAGTTTGCAAACCACTCCAATATAATTGGTTGGATTGGTCGTCCAACCACCGATCATTATTGTGATAAGACCAGACATGAGAGAGACGAGATTAACAATGGACAACACCAAAAAAAGCCAAGCACATGAATTAGAACGAAATGATCGTTGGGAGAGAACAAGAATATTGAGAATATTGCCCACCATACCAAACAGAAAAATCAAAATTGCCAGAGAACGATTGGATTGAACTGTAATGTTGTTTAACAATTCGATAATAAATTCGTCGTGTGATATGTTAGACATCTTTCTCTTTTAAAATAGTGCACACCCATGTCGCTCAAACCGCTTCAAAACCGTTGGTTAACCGCGGTTAACCATCCGGTTAACTGGGCGGTTAACCGTTCGGTTTACTGCAGTTAACCGCGGTTAACCGTGGTTAACCGTTCGGTTTACTACAGTTAACCGCGGTTATTTCTCCCTATCGTACTGACGTATTTGGGTCGAATCTAGGTTGTAGCAAGAATTTATTTTAATTTCATGAGAATTTATTATAAAAAGTTTGAGCAAAAGAAATTAATTCTAATCCAATGCAGAAAACAATTTCCTATCATTCATAACAGACATGTTAGACAAAAACAATTTCTAGTAAAAATACAACGATATCAGACGTAGCTAAGATCGTTTTCCATAGAAAAAGACATGAAAAAAGATTTCAGATACCTTATGACATACAAGTGTTATTTAAAGAATAAATGAAATTGAAAAACGAGGAATAATCAAAGTGTACAAAACTAATTAAGAACAATGCTAATTTAAAACGTGTCTGTTTCATCAACATGTTCTTCTACTGTTTCTTGTAATGGCGAATCAATTGGCTTGATGCTGTTAATACTTGTTCTACTTTTTTTAATTTCATTTCGTCGCTTCTGAAGAATACTCTCATGCAAGTTCGGCCATTCCAAGTTTAACATTTCAATGTTCAACTGAAATTTCGATCGCACAGCTTCTAAATATAACGATATTTAGAGAATTTTCTAAAATCATAAATTTAGTTATCATTGAACCTTTAATAATTTGATAACGCCCGTCTTTTATCAATTCATCTTTGCTAATGGATACTAACTCTTCTTTTGTAAATAACTGATCCATTAATAGTGTTGCAAAACGACCCAATTGAGTTCTAACACCATATAATTGAATTAAATCAATATTTTCTCCATTTTGATTTTTATAAATCTAGAAAGAAAAAACATGAAAACTAAACAATAAAATAAACAAAATAAAAGTTACTAATGTAGATTGAAACGACGCTTCGATCTCGGATTGAACTTCTCCACCAAAATGAGTACCATTCAAAGACACATTGATCTAGGAAATATAAAAACTTATTGTTTATAAAAAAAAAACAAGATATTCATAATTCTTGTTTGCCTTTTTTTTTATTAAAGCTCGTTGCATCTTTTTTTGATTATCAAATAATATATTCATTTTGGTATCTAACTTCTCCATTGATACCAGCATGTGTTTTATATCTTTTGATGATTGATCCACAGATTTTATTACATCTTGATTCAATGATAATGATGCTTTTAATAGCATTACTATTTCTTTATTTCCACCATCCTCTAATGGAAACAATTTATTACATATTCGTTTAGAAGATTTTTCACGAGCTGTTTTGTTGAATGAATTTGATAAAGGTCGTTTAGATGGTCGAGTATTGTTTTTATCAGTTGTTACTGATATCGGCAATGATGAATTGTCTAAATCAATAACTTCTTCACTTGATTTATCATCATCACTGTCACCTTCACTAAGATCGTCATCAAATGTTAATGACTTTCGAGTTTGACGTTCATTCTCTTTATTTTTCACCATATATTGAACTTCACGTAATGCTTGATAAGCAGCAACGCCATTTGCTAAAAATAAAACAAAATAATACATTTATAAGTTGCAAATCATTTTAAAATATTCGAAAAAAATATAAGAAGCGTTTTGGATATTGTTTATTGTTGTTAGCTTCCTATTACGAACAGATATTAACCGACGTTTCTCATATAAATTATCACACTTATTGATATTTTTTTTTCGAATAATTTTCACCTACGAGGAAAAACGTAATGTGCTATCCGATATCTTACCTCGTTTCGGCGATGTTCCTCGCATAGCTTTGCTATGAACAGCTACATCTGTGGGTGGTGGAGTTCCATAATTTTTCGATGTGCCTGGAAAAAAATGAAAGTTAAAATATTATTAAAATGAATTTTTGAACTTGCAATCAAGACGCGTGTTAGCCAATGATCGTACTGTTGAGGGTGTACAATCTAAATGAAATAGGAACATTTTTTTAAACCTGGAATGAGCAATTTAATTTTGTATGATTACGATTGTCCTTGCTTCTCTGAATATTGTTCATTTTAGTTGTTGACGAACCGCTAATTTGAATACTTGAATTGGATGATGGTGCTGATGTCGTAATTTGTTGTGATCGTTGTACATTTAATTTGGAGCTACTTTTTAGAGTTTCACAATCAGATTCAAGATCACTATTCATTTGTTTATCTAACCGCTCAGCAGCCGCTTCTACTTCAGTCAAAGAGCCTATAAAAAATCGAAACATTTAAAGGAAACTTTCATTCGAATTTTTATGAAAATTAATAATAAAAGAGTTACCTTCCAACAAACAATAGCCAACATAAGTTTTACCACGATCTTTGATAGTCACTAGACCATTATCATTAGCACCATGAAGATTTGATTTCCTTTTTATTATAAATGTATTATCAGATTTGAAAAGTACCAATGTATATATTTCATTATCATTGTTTACACGACGAGTTGTCAAATAAGATTTTTCATATACGTTCGTCAATGCCATTCAAAACGATTCGCGAACAAGGAAGACCAAATAAACATAAATCTAGAAAGAGAATAAACATGTACAATACAAACCCAAACGACTATTGTGCTATATGTTCGAAAACATATTCAATCATGTTCAAAGTCTACTCGAATTTCAGATATACAGAAAACATCTTGAAATTCTATCGCTACGCATTTGTGACGAAATGCTTCAACTGAAATAATATCATAATCATTTGATAGTTCCACTAATGGATATAAACCATCTAATCTTTGTAAAATCTCGGTTGGTAATTCAACAAAATCTGAAATTTTTTTTTTTGACATACGATATTTTTGGATGAATGCAAAATATTCACTATCATATTTATAAAACACAACAATATTTGCATAATTAATAACATTACGATAATTTTTATCTTTGATGTATGATATTACGAAGCTGCAGCATTTAAATCGTTTATCGTACAATGTTGTATGATACGTGGTGAACTGATGCTTGTATCTTTTATAAAATTCCACTTGTTTTAACTGTTGATCATTCATTTGGATAAGGTTAATGACTAGTTCACGATAGTCACCAAGTTGTTCATTATTCAGATCAATTTGATTAACACCAGTTGATGATGGAACTTCAAATATTTTATTTTTTACGATATTTTCCATATCGTACCAATATGCGATCTGGCTCGCCAGATGCTTTGTACCGTGTACCTGTTTTTTAATATATCGAATGCACGACTCAAATGTAAATGCCTAAAAAAAAAGAAAAAATTTGTCTAAATGGTGATATATTCCAAAAAATAGTTATCTCACGGAACAGAATGACAAGCCACCATGTAATCGTACTTGTGCAGGCAGATGAAGGTGTGCATGTAATGAATAATATTCTAATGATTGATCATAAACTTCAGAAATAGTACGACAATAATAATTTATTAAGCGTTCTGCAAAATTGATATCTTCTATTGATTCTGGTGCATGCAAAAGTTTTATGGCAACACAATAAATTGCCCAATGCGATGCATTTAAAACAGGAAGGCAAGTAATTCCTAGAATAATGATATATGTTAAACTTGAAACTTGAATTCAATTGAACATTGAAAATTGAAAATTTTCAACGGAATTCAAGTTTCAAGTTTGACACTACTGAGAATAATTAAGCTGCTTTCTCACAATCTATTATCCTGTGAAAATAAAAAAATATCTGTGAAATTGATAACTAACCTATGGGTAAACCAATATTGAGTACAAAAAGTCGACTATGTTTAGCTTTCCAACACTCAACAGCTGAAATCGATTCATTGTAAACAACGTGAATATTGTGTGGCACACGGGTCTTGAGTAACATGTTATCCATTTTCATAGCTTCTTCTTTATCAATAAGCTGACACCAACGTTTTATTAATGTTTGAACATGCCCGAGGCAAACCAAGTGCATATAATCCAAGAGAATTTGTTGAGGATATGCCATAATATCCAATAAACAGGATAAACCTTTTACACCTTGAACACTTGTTATTCTTTTGCCGGTCGAATTTTTTTCTGCTTCTTTAGCTGCAGCAATAACTTCAGCATGTGAACGTAATTTTAAATCATTATGATGATATGGATATACTACAATACTACCACTCCATAACCCTGAAAAAAAATATTATTCATAAGTGTAACTGTAAAAAGAAATTTTGTTGCGGGAACTTTATCCATGATCGCTTTTAGAAACAATGATATTGTTCGGATTTACATCTCTTAGAGAACTATACAGATGATTCATTAGCTCGTATGGTGGCCACACAAATACTTATATCATTAACATAATATACTGATACATACCTTTTGTCACACAATAATGACACGCATAGTATCCATTAAAATATGTTGTTTGTAAAAATAAAGATCGTGCAGGCAAGTCAGATATAAAAAATTGTGTACGAATAACAAAATTAAATTCCATACCATTGATGAAGAATGAAGTACCTTCGGCCATTAAAATTTTTATTTCATCTCTAAAGTATGAAAAATGAACGACAATATAATCTTTCTTGAATTAGACAAAATTGATTAAAACTACTATGCAAAGAAAAAACAATAATTAATAAAATGAAAAACTTACACTGTTTTCTTTAAAAATACATTAACGTTAGGTTTGCTTTTGGAAGACCATAAAGCCAAAAGAATAATATTATTTTGATATTCCCTCAGTGGAGGAGGGATCTCAACTACAGAAGCAAAAAGTGGCCATATTGATTGTTTTGTGGTGCGTACTAAAGGAGCACCATCCGTGTGCAAAACTAAGGTGATCGTATTTAATTTGGATTTGGATAGTGTTGTTTGATAGAAAGAACCATTAGATATATCACATGTTGGAAAATAATTTTCATTTTTTGTCAATATTTTTATATTTCGATTGACAATTAATTTTAATTGGCTGCGTACATCTAGATTAACTATTTCTACAATTTCATTTGTTCTTAATGATCTTTTTGAATGTAGACAGGTTTCATTTCTACATATTTTTGTGTTAAACGTCGTTTTACCACAAAGCTGATGACACCGTGAACATAAGAATGTTGTAGATGACAAATTTGTACGTCCAAATAATTTCATGATAGATTTCCAAGTTGTAGGTAATGTGTTGGGCTCTGGTAAAAGAAATTTAATCAATTTCAATAAACGTAAAATATTTCTTTTATCTAAATGAACATCAGATATTAAAAAATCCATTAATAACTTCATCGACTTCATGCTGGATAATTTGCTGTTGTTGTAGAGTGGTGGCGATCGGTCAAGAAAATCATCTTGAATATCATTAGCCTTTTTTGTATTGTCATGTTCGTCGTCATGATATGCCTCATAATCACATGCTTCATCATCATCAAGTGTTAAAGGACTGTTGCTAGTTGTTGATTTAGAATATTGTGTATCTTGTACATGATGATCATTTTCATCTTCACTATTACTTGAAATATCCGAATAGCTAACATTTTTTTCTAATCTTCGTAAGCGCCGTGCGCGTTTTTCTATGGTGCGACGAGAATAATAGCACTTTCGATACATAGAAAATACGAATATCTAAAATTTAAATAAAAGTCTAGAGATCTATTCTGAACGAATAAGCCAAAGTAAATGAAGCCAATTATGTATTTGTTAAAAATTGAACTGATTCTTAAAGAAAATTCATTTCGTTAAGTATAGTCGTACTAGGAATATACAAGAGAAGTTTAGATGACGTGAAAATATGTTTATTATATATTGCAGTGTAATTACTGTTATAATAATGCATATGAATAACGAGTTTGGAATAGTTTCAAAATAATTCAGTAACCAATAGAAAAGAGAGAAGCGACCTCGTTTAATCAGCTTTAAGATGCATATATTTTCTTATTAGAGAAGTCATGAAGCATATAAGAAAAAACAATTAGAATAATTTTCATCATTATTTTTTATCTTTTTTCCGACATGAACACGTTATACCGATTACTTTACTTTGTGTCGCTACTGTTAAAATCAACTGCTCGAAACCGGCGGTTAACCGCAGTTAACCGTCGGTTTTAACTAGAACCGGCGGTAACCGACGGTTTTTTTAACAATCGCGGTTAACCGTCGGTTTTTCAAAAAATAAGAAGACATGGGCACTGTTGTACTAAAAAGACACGAGAAAAAGTATGAATCTTATTGTGTAATGTGAATTTGGAATATTTCCAGAAAAGTAGATGATATATCGAGAATGTGAATTAATAAAAGTGAGAAGCACTTATATATTGGTTGGCCTATCCATTTTTCTCTATTTTTTCTCTTTGTATCTATTTCTCTTTTTAGATTTCAACATACAAAACTCTGTGCTCGAGTCACGCTGATCTCAAAAATAGAACTTGATAAGATATATATGCAACTAAAATCAACCAATGGTGTGCTAGTTAATAATTTATATATAATGAGTTTTCATTTGAAACATTAATTTAGCTTAATTATAACTATCGTGACTAAATAACATTATTCTAAGTCGTTTTTGTCACCATTTTAGGAGAGAAGTGATAGATTTATGTTTAACATGAAATATAGTTTAAACTGTAAACTGCTGCGAGAGATGCTCTGTGAAAAGCTCTACAAAATTTGGGTGATCGAATTCCTTTTGATGGTTTTTCTTCTATAAAATATTTCTAGGGCATTTTCAACCCGATATAAGATTTGGTTTTTACTAGTTTAATAGAACTTTTCGTGGAGCGTGTTTCGGAGAAGAATTATGCGAAATAATTTAAAAGAAATTTTTTTTGTAAAACACTCTTTTAACTTTTAACTGCGTCTTGATGTTACATAAATATATAAAAAGATGCAACTCTCTCCGCGTTTTCTCCCTATAGTAGGTAGTAAGTTAACAGATACAAAAGGGTATATTTTTAATTTTCCTCGACGGCATCATCAGAGAATTATCTTCTGTAAACAATCAATATTAACAGAGTATATTATAATAGCTTGTGAAGTTAAGAAAGATCTCGTTTGTGTTGGTTTTCTCGATAGATGATAACAGATTTTTACCAAAACGGTTTTTAAGAGTGATCTACGCAACAAGTCACGGGAAACAAAAACATCTTGATAGGTGTTCTATTGAATTTGTATTCTTAGAAGATGCTATTAGGACTGGCTAGTAAACATAATTCTCGCTCATAGCGCCTCTTACTTATCATTGTGGGATTTGCTTAGGTTTTTTATGTTTTACAACAGGATGATTTTATTGAAAATTGTATACCTATTATATAATTATGACTTATCACAAAGACAATTTCGTTTCGTTCCTACTGATGTCTAAATGGATATATTTCGTTGAATATTCTATACACAACGTCAAAAATAATAATTTTGATTATTCTTCAATAAGAAAAGTATGAAGCTATTGGTTTTTAATAGTTTCATATTGTAAATGTTGAAAGGCGAAACTAGTTACAAATTTAAATAAATCATGGAGACAATCTTATAAAAAAAATGATATCACCGAAACGAACTGATTTAGTAATATATAAAAGTATTAAATTTTCTGTCGCTTCTATGGCAAGATACTATTAAGATAAATTTAGAAAAATATTACAGGATTTTGTGAAGAATATCAATTACATTTGCAAGCGTATGCTTTCAAAAAAATGATATTATGATAATGGAATGTTTCGAGAGAATTATCAATCTCGTATTAAAAGATTTTTTTACAGCTTAATGCAATACGAATAAGAAAAACTTTCATGACCAGCAACAATTACACATGAACATGCTTGTTTGAAATAATAGATTATTATAATCTTGAGCACTTAGGAAAGTGCATGCAGTACTAATAAAAATACGCAGTAATGAAATCAGGAACTTTTTTTATGTAGGATAAGTTGTGTATATGAGATGGATGCTGAATTGTTGATCAAGTTGATTATTGATATTTCTGTTAGAGAACGAGTAATAGAAAAAAATATATTACTTTTTCAGAATCTGTTTTTATATCTAATAAATACGTAGAGCTCAATTAAAATGCCATTCACAGTAGGGTAATTACATTGAAATTAATAATATTTTGTGAAGCTTCCATATGCCACCGTTGATTGAAAAATATTATGAAGTCAATTTATAATATGTTTAAATAGCATTTTTTTCTCATTGTGAATATGTCAGTTGTTTTGTTAATGAATACCTAAATAGTATGCTTGAATCACCAGACGTAAAAGAAACTCAAATACAATAGAAGACATAATAAAATTCATTGGTATGGTAACTCTATCCATGGGTAACAACAGATTTCTAAAAAAAAACATTTTATTGATTAACTATCGTTACACAATAATATTGGTTAGCAATTCTTCATGATATGAATTATAAAATCAGTGTAGAAGTTTCATTTTATTTTTTTTTTGTGTAAATATTATTGTCTGCAGAAGTGGAATTTTTATTTAAAACTGCTCTTTCTACAAAATTGATGTCTAATATACGCTATTTTCATTTCAATATCAAACTGCGTTAGTCACATAGAATATGATAACTCTACAACACAAAGGTTTCGCTTTATGGTTTTCTAAATCATCAAACAACTTGATATGAAAAAAACTGTTTTTTGAGTTTGTGTAATAATAAGTATTTTATTGAATACATATTAATAGATTTCATCAAAACTATTATTTGATTGTCCGTTCGGTTGAAATCGTTTATTGTATTATACATGATCGGGCTTGAGGGCTAAGATCCACGAACGACTATGATAATTACTTGGATTTAACAATTCAATGTGCTTCAAGTAATTTTAATACACTTTACTCCTCATTATGCAGTCTTCGCTGAATCGAACAGGATATTATTGATCGTTGTTATGGAATGATTGGATTAAGTTTTCTAGTAGATTATTTAACGGAAATATTTTCAATTTTTTAATGAAATCACTAAATGACGGTTTTAATTATTTGACATTTATGGTAATAACTGTGATTGTCAAATTCTATTTGCATTATAGTCCAGAAAAGTAAGTTTTTATCTGAAACTTGACATCAGGATTCATACGAAACATAGCATATAGGCAATTACAGTTTTCCTTTTTATGTGCTATATATAGTTATGACTGAGCTGTGACGCTAACCCAGTTAATATAGTAAGCTTTTTCATCATCGGATAATCAAAATATTTTACATTTCAGTCGACTGTAGTAGAGTTGAGATGTGAAAAAATGTGAAAGTTTTCTCAATTTAGCACATATCTTATTTAGTTCCTAATGAATCCTTTCCTCAGTGCGCTTCGTGTGGTGTAAACATTTATTTGACGCACACTTTTTTCCATCAGTGTTTCTGGATCGATTTTTATATTCAAAAGTGGTTTTTTAATAAAATGAAAATATCAGTTATGCATGTTCCGCTTTTGATACGCCATTCTCAGTATTCAGCAGTCTGGAACCACAGCGAATTGGGTTCTATTCGTGAACAAATATCAAAAAAGATGCTTTGCGTATTGCAGATCTAGCTTTATTTTTAACTCTGCTAAGGAATTTAATTGATTTAGACGTATTTTTCTACAGGTTACATGAGTAAGATTTTCTCTTAGTGTAACGATGATAAACTAACTTTTTCCATTATATGTTTTTGAAAGATTCATATAACACTGATATTCAGGTATTCAATTTTTGTATTATAGACAGATGATGCAGCTGATCTTTATGTTAGTTGTCGGTCTATTATATTGTGTAGACTACGCATATTTATCCAAATCTGAAGCATCACGCTTTCAATTCACTGAAGAAGCTCAAACAGCTCTATGCCCATTTGTTGGCACTGAAGGGATGAGATGCTTTGATGGTAGTCCTGTAAAGCCATCGGGCAGAACGCTTGATTCGAACTATTTGCAATTACCACGTGGTGTCGGAATGAGTGTTGATCGAAGATCTGGTCGACTCATAGCTCCAGCTATTAAACTGACGTGTCCACCTAAGGGTTGTCATACGTTTTGGACTGATTCTTTTACAGGTATAATGTTCAACGTATTTAGCGAAGCAAAGTTAGGCTCAGCTCATAGTGTAGGAACTACTTATGACAGAGCTAACATTCAAATTTTTCGAAATGCATCACAATTAAATGAAGCGTGGCGACGTTCATTCGCCGAGGGAATGGTTCGTGGTGGAGAACTAGCTCGCCCACCTGACCTTCTAGAGTATTCTAATAGGTAAGCGTTTTGCTCCAATATATTAGTCAAGCGTTTTTTAGAACAAGAATATGCAATGCTGACGAAATATAAAGAATGAAAAGTACGCCAATAATTCTTACAAAAAAGAACATGAAATAAAAACAGATTCAGATATCAAATCTCAAACATTTTCTTTTTATTCATTTGAGAAAAATAAACTGCATAGTTGTGCATGAAGGCAAATTCTTATTCCGACGTTTCTACATAGCATATACTACTCACAATCTTATGTTTCTATGTAGTTATTTTAAACGTGATGATGCTCTAGCACTTTCTCAACGTGTGATTGGACTTTATACACTGACATTAAATACTTCGACTATTGAGCTTAACTCATTCGCCCGCGATGCAGTTTCGAAATTAACACCAAACTTTGATCCTGATCTTTATGAAGATTTTCTTGATGCTTGGGGAACTCATATTATTACTAAGTCGCTTGTGGGTGGTATGGTGGAACAACGAGCTATACTAAAACGATGTTTCGAAGCTGGCAATGATCGCATCTTTGGCCAATGTATACCATTCTCTAATCGAGATCCAGGTAATTCCACTTGTGGCTACTATGCTAGTTTCGCACGCATGATTTCGAAACGTCGTCTTGGAGGTGATGTGGCACTCGACAACGATAATGAATGGAAAAGAACGCTCTCCACCGGGCCTGCTCTCCTACAGATTCTTGAAATGGTTCCTTGGTATGATTTCGTCACTGATGAAGCTGTGAAACAAAACTTACGTACAATCATTCGATATCGACAGAGAAACATCGATTTAGTGCAAACAGAAGCAGTCCGCCAAATCGATGCACGTTTATCTCCCTGTCCTATTGGTATGCTAAAACGAATTTTAATTATCAGATAAGTTTTCAAAAATATTGCATAAACTAGTTTAAGAATATGTTGTAGTGATAATTCGGGGTGAACCATTTATCTTAATTTAATGTTAAGTTTCAAGATGCCAACTAACACTTAACACCAAGGAGAAAAAAGTTGACTTTCTAATAGCCAGGATTGACAATGGTTGGTTTCGTTTTTTTTTAGGTTCGAATAATGAACTCTGGTGGTATTCGATACCACGCTTTGTTGTTACACCCTATTTGAGCTTCGCCATACCTAAGATAGTGAGTTGATCATCACATTCTTCTCATGGTTTTGAGATTCTGAAAGTCTCGCAATCCACTTTCACCGATTCTAGAAGTTAATCCATTTCCGTAAGTTTCGAAGGCTTGAAATCAGCTTTCTACATATATGAAATTATCTGGGTGTAGTCGCACAAATGCATGTCACCAATTTGTTGTCGTTTTTTTTTGTCGAAACCGAGGAGTGTTTTTCTTTTCTCCAATATTCAGCTCAGTTGAAGCTAATTCCGTCTCTCTATTTGTACTTGATTTCAGGCATTCCAGTGCGTGCCAGTGCCATTGATATTTTCTCGAATGCTCGATGGCAACAAAATGGTATCACTGTCGCTGGAGGAAATGGACAAGGCAATGGAATCAATCAACTCTCAGTCCCATACAGTTCCTTTGTTGACGATGATCAAACTGTCTATGTTGCTGAATATTTAAATCACCGTATTGTGGAGTGGAGATCGGGTGCGACGAGTGGCCAAGTGATTGCCGGTGGAAATGGACCAGGGAATGGGGTTAATCAATTGTCTCATCCATTAGATGTGATTGTCGACAAAGAGAGAAATAGTCTCATTATTTGCGATCATGGAAATTTAAGAGTGGTTCGATGGCCTCGTCAAAATGGGAGAAGTGGAGAAACGATCGTCTCCAACAACCATTGTGCGGGTTTGACTGTGGACGAGAATGGATCTCTTTATGTCGTTAACTATGGACAACATGAAGTAAGACGATATCGAAGAGGAGAATCTCAGGGAACAGTGGTTGCAGGTGGCAATGGAAATGGAAACCGCCTCGATCAACTCACTCACCCGCATTACGTATTCGTCGATCGAGATCAATCAGTATACGTGTCTGACACTGGAAATCATCGTGTGATGAAATGGATGGATGGTGTAAAACAGGGCATTGTCGTGGCTGGTGGTCAAGGACACGGGAGTAGTTTCACACAGTTGTCATATCCTTATGGAGTCGTTGTCGACCAATTGGGCACTGTCTATGTGACTGACCTAGGGAATGCTCGAACCATGCGTTGGCCCAAAGGAGCCACACAAGGAAGTGTCGTTTTTGGTGGAAACGGTGGAGGAGTACAATCGAACCAACTGAATCGGCCCAGCGGTTTATTATTCGATCGACACGGTAATTTCTATGTCGTTGAGCAGGGAAATCATCGTGTACAAAAATTCAATCTAGAATCCAACAACAGCAATTGAAACAACAAAGATATTATGAAATGGAAAAACAATTAAACTGCTTGAATCAATAATTCATTTTTTCCCAATAAACTCTAATTTGTAAATATTTATTATGAAAAATAAAAACAAAAATTGAACTCTAACAAGACTTTTTTTTCCACAAGGGGTGTGGGTGTGTTGGATTTACCATGATGTTGACATTTCATCTCAGCAAAATGACTCTTCTGATGACACTCGTTTCAATATTAAATTTAAAGAGTGGGTGTAGATGTGCAGTTTCAAGTGATTACGCTGTCTTTAACGAAATCTGGCCACACCCACACCCTTCTTATCTGTCACACCCTTTAGCTCAGAGAAATCAATAGATTACGACTATAATTGCATTTCGAAGGTTTTTCCATCTACGAGTATTGGTAGAGAGAAGAAATCGATAAAACAAATATTCAATAGAAAAAAACGTCATCAGCAGTTTTGATACTTTGCACATTTGTCGATATTATTTTGAACAGAACTGAGGCACTGGCAATTCAGGAATCCATTTGAAATTAGATAATAGGGGCGCATTGAGTACGAAGAAATTCGGGCCGGCATTTGTATACAGACCTACGTAGAGCGGCGCTGTTACCAAAATGAATATATGTGTCACTAATATACCAATAGGTCGTGGTAAAGTAACGGGCAAGAGCATCTCCAAGAAGCAGGCGATGCCTTGCAGAAGAAAAAACATCAATGAGGATAACGGAGACGTCGCACCCAAGGCACTAACAGCTACATGTGCATGAAGCAGGCCACTCACAAAAAATGTCGTCAGAGCGGCTAGTGCCGATGACATAGATAACGTTTGATGAATAGGTTCGAAGACCGAGTCCTTAAGAAGCTTATGGACGAAGTAATTATATCGGCGACCCCAAAATTCTCGAATCGATTTTGAGAGAAATGGATAGTTGTTGAATGGCAATAGAGTGTATCTATTCTGTGTGATAAGTCGAACAAGAACGATCTGTGCATCGATTACGTATGTGCCTGTACAAGTCCAGACATAGAACATGGCCATTCTAGCATAACTATCACTCGGTTCACAAGATAGAAACCATCGGTAGATCCAGTGATTCAATAGAAGTTTGACACTTCCTGAAACGAGATCAAAGATGACAGAGTGTTTTGACTCGCACTGTATGATAGGAATAAAAAGACCTAACAATTCCCAAGCAAAGGATCGAAGAGAAGAAGACCTTTCAGGTGAGAGTACAATCAAATGAATAAGACGAATTGCTAGTATCCAATAGAATGAGATGATCATCACGGATTTCATGTGAAGATAGGGCAGATTGTGACAGCCGGCGAGTATTAGAATCATACATGGTAGAATTGTTAGAAGAGCTCGATAGGAAAATTTGCGAAGTGGTCGAACGAAATAGAAACAAGCAATGGAGTAAACAACCCAAATAATAGGAACGACTTGTGTACGGATCATGTTATAGTATTATCGTAGAGTAAGAATTATAATATCAATGCACGTGCATCGCAGTAGCGTTGCTTCTTTTAGTTTTTTTTTTATGTGCACCACACTTTCTTGTAGGTAAAAGAGAATATTTTTATTATGTTGTTATCTTTTTCACTTATTTCTATTGACTACGTAACTACTATACTCATTTCCAAGGACATACTATGCTTCTTTCTAACGCATAAAAACAGCGCACCATTCGACTGTTTATGGTCTATGTACTAGATTATTTTTGAGATAATGATGATCAATCATAGTTCATTGGAAAGCTCATTCAAAAATCCAGAATGAAATGTGAACAGGAGTTTGACTGAATAGTGCAGTAGTTTCAAGTGATAGTTAGAGTTGTGGATGACGTTTTGTAAATGCAGCCGGCGGTCGAAGAATATGGCGACATATTTATTTTTGTGATCAACTATTAACCAGTAATTCTAACACCAAGCAACCAACGGCACAAGAAGCAAGAATAAATTTCTTAAGAAGTAATGATTAAAAAAATATTAATAACTTGTAAAGAATTCGGATGAAAAAATGAGTAGATCACAACTTAAATGAACATCTAAATACATTTTACAAGAACAAAATTGAAGAATTAAAACAACGAACATAAGACGAAATGATAAAATGAACTCAGATAGTATATCATTGAAAAGTTCTGATTAAAAGACTACCTTGAGAATGTGGGTGTGTGCTATTTTCTTCTATAGTCACAGTCCACGCCAAATCAATAGCCACACCCACACCCACACCCTCCAGTAAGAGTGGGCGTGATTTTTCTTTAAGTGCACTCCCACATCGGCCGATGTTATATACTGTGCCAGCTAAACTAGTAAAACCAGAGATGAGCAAATACAAATTGTATTTCTATTTCTATTTTCACAGCTCTCCCAATTGACGATGGTTATCAGTAGTAAAAAAAATCCTGACTATATGCTATTGATTGTAATAATTTAGTGCACATAATGTTATGTTGAATGTAAAAGATTTTATATTTGTGTAATTCAATTTTCTTGTCTCAAGAAGCCAATCAATAAAACTAATAAATATGCATTGAGACATGAATTTCTTTTACGAAATTCATCTTACTTTGTCTTTTCACATATAAATGTAAAAACAATCAATTTTTTGTGCACTGTGTAGTAGTTTTATACAATTCATCATCGAAACCATTTGAAGACAAACTCATTTTCTAAAAAATTGATTAGAAGGATTGGCTTACTATACTAATTCGAGAGCTGCTTGAAATGATTATAAACCAAGCACACGTACATATTACTAGAGTTAATCGGCACTCAAACCCACCTAGTGGGCTTGTAGGGACACAGAATGTTTCGAGTTACCAATTGCCATCTATACCACATGTTATAAAAGTATCTTGTCGTCAGCAGCATTACTCAGCCAATGAACAAGTGAGTTCTCCATTTTTTTTCCACTGCTCTTTTGTTCTCACAGATCGTTGATATAAAGTTGGTATTCATCGAAACAAATAGGCAAAAGTCGAAATTGTCCCTCAGTCATCAATTAGCATCCGTCATTTCTGCAGGCATTGGAACTCCAGATCATGAAGATTGTTTGTATTCGGTAAAATTTCCGAAATAATATATAATTTTATATGGATTTTTCCGGACAGATCCAGATTATTTTAGCTGTTCGCCTATTTCGGATAGAAATAAAAAAAGTAACCAAATAAGCAAAACTTAGTCGAAGATTCAACGTATTATTGTAGAGCTACTATATTGATGTCATCTCTCTATGTCAGAAATGACAAAAAAAGAATAGAAACCAAACAGTTATTTAACAGTAGATAAATTGCTAGATAGTTTGTATGGAACAATATTGCAAATCTTTCTCAATAAACTAATAATAAATTCAATTTATATTCACATTTGAATTTTGAAAACGTACGTAGTCGTAACTTGAACGTCTCGATGCGTATGAAGCAATATTTTGTTTGTTTTGAATTATTATCCATATATTTTGTTCGTAAATAGTCGTACGGAGTTATACATGAAAGTGATCATTTAAACAAAAATCAACAAAATCAAAATCATAATTTAATAAGAACAAAAGAAACAATGAGCAGCAATCTAGAACACAATCTAGGAATATTCATAACAAATAAAGATCGATCAAACACAACTGTTAAAATGACTGATTATCAAATAATTTCAAATCAAGTTTGTTGAAAATCACTTTCAAATTATTTCATACTTCATCAAGCATTTTTCATAGAGTATTACGAATGATAATTCGGCTCAAACTGATCGTCATTTTGATATGAGGGTAAGACTTCTTCGTTTTCCTTTGTATTATGTAATCGTTCGAAGAAAAAAGATCACATGCGTCCTATAGGATCGAGCCACATTTATAAGAGAACACCATCGGTATTTGAAAAGAAAGAAAAACGAGAGGTATACAATTTGACCTTTTCACCTGTTTTCCATCAATGTATTTTTATGGTAGATACTGTGGTGGCTATTGTTGTTTTGTTTGTTGTTCACCCTTGGGTATCATCATAGCTATATTTACTGCCATTCTCGTGGCTGCAGCAATCGCTGCTATGCTCCTTGCATTGGTCACGTCGCAAAAAATAGGTAAGAATTCATTTCTTCTTTCTTCTGACGATTATTTGAATGAAGTTCGACAAGAAGAGATCAAAATACTGTTTGTGCAATATTTGAAAATAGCTCTTTTTTTCAATCTCAACAGCAAAAGAATTGCAATATTGAATAATAGAAGCCATATTGAATGCAAAGAGAAAAACAGCGAATGCTTTCTAAAAACTCGAGCATTTTATTTTTCATTGTTTCTTGTTGAAAAATTACTGTATAAAGCAATAAGAAAGTACTATATTCTATTGGTCAAAGACGTTCGTTTTCCCAAAAGCTGATTTCCAAACGAAATTAACTATAGTTTTTCATAATTTTTCCAATGTCGGACTATGAAAGTCTTGAAAACAAGTTTAAAGCTGTTTAGTTTTTGTGAATTACCACTACGATATCAAGTAACCGGCTTTACAAACTGCTTTATGAAAATTACCTTCTTTTTAAAATTTGATTAAAATTTTTTCGGATCGAGAGATACAAACGTATCAGTGATTTCTTAAAATCTTGTACTTCTACTTTTTAGGTAAACCCATTAGAAATTTGAATTTCTGTGTCTCAAAGGTTGTGACTGACTGTTACTGATTAAAGAGAAGGAATACAACTACAACCAACCTGTCCCCATTCGCATTCAATACTCGCATATTGGTTACTTGTACTATAAAAAAAATATTTCAGTCTCTCAAATTTCATAGTTGACGTATCAAATTTTAATCAAATTTTAGTCATGGAAGTAACTCATCTATGAGTGTTTACTTTCATTTTTAAGCTCAAATTTTGAACCTAACTAGTACTAATTCAGTGTAGCAGTAGGAGGATCGATTCAAGAACGATTTTTTTCCATGTCGGCTATCTCCTAAAGCGATATTCTTACGGATCACAGCTTCTTAGATACTTTTTAAGACTTTGCCGTCGTGCAAATTTTAGGCTGTAGAGGGGGAACCATAGAGAAAGGTATTCCCTCAGGAGTGACTCCCATGATCTTCTCGTTGAGTCACTCATTATATAATTGGAGAACTACCGAAGTCAGCTATGATCAAAATAAATTAATACGAAAGACTGCTTTTAAAAGGAACTACACTGCTCTGCTATTGCCAAGAATCCGTACTAACGAGGATTTGTTTTGTTTGACTTTTGCTAAAATATTGAGTTCGTTACAGAAAACGATGCAATTCATGTTTCAGCTATGGGGCAGAAAACTATATAAGTTAGTCACTCGATTTGCTCTAGTGTAGTTAATCGAAACTAGTGCTGCTCAAGGAAAACTTTCTAATGATCTCGTATATGATCTAGATATTGTAGATTACAAATGATAGACGGACTTTCTTTTTCTAGTAATTACAACAACTTCTATGACAACAACAACGACAACTATGACTACAACAACAACAACCACAGCTACGACGACTATGCCTTGTACTATTTTATTTTTTATTTGTTTTTAATAAACATTGATTGCTCTTTTTTCTTCAGGCATTTCAGTTGGTATTAATGGACTGAACATTCCCATATGTGCTACATGGAATCAGACAGGAATAACGGTAGCTGGTAATCAGAACACGGCGGCTGGTTCCAATTTGGCATCGCTCGCCTATCCAATAGACATATTTGTTGATAATAATTACACTTTGTTCGTCGCCGATGGAAACAACAATCGAATTGTTATGTACTATGAGAATGCTGCTAGTGGTATTCTTGTTGCTGGTACAAGCACCGGAAGTGGTTCAAGTCAATTAAATCAACCGAAGGGTATTTCCGTCGATCAGACGGGTGCTGTGGTCGTTGGTGACACTTCAAATTATCGAATTCAAAAATTTCCCTACGGTTCAATGGTAAATGCAATGTTTTCAATAACAATTTTTGAAATAAAATTTTACAGGTAGCTACCACAGTAACCGCCAATAGTGGATCGAGTCCTTTGGGTATAACAAGAGATTTGCATACTGATTGTAATGACGATATCTATGTGACAGATTCAGATAACAATCGAGTTGTCATGTTTTATCAGAGTAGTAGTATCGGTGTGGTTGTAGCAGGCAACAATGGAGCCGGCTCAGCAGCAAATCAATTCTCAACTCCATATGGAAGTTTCATTGATCAAAACGGAACATTATACGTGGCCGACTATGGAAATCATCGTGTTCAGATGTGGCCTGCTGGAGCTACGAGCGGAATAACTGTAGCCGGTATTACTGGATCGTATGGTTCGTCATTGATGCACTTGAATTATCCTGATGCAGTCATTGTCGACAACAATGGGTATGTCACTATATGATATATAATTGGAATCTAGTAAAATATCAGCTTGAGTTGAACAATGAACCAACTTAGAAGTCTATTTGACTGCGATGCCACTAGCAAAGAAGTTTTTTTTAGTTGTAACTAGCTGTAACTGTATTTTTTGTATTATAGGTATATTTATATAGCGGATTCCGTAAACAACAGGATAATGAAGTGGACAACAAACTATACGATTGGTGGTGTCTGTGTTGTCGGTTGCACTACCATAGCAGGATCAAGTCCTACTCATTTGAACAGTCCACGAGATATCAGATTTGATCCAAGCGGAAATATATATGTCAGTGATCAAGGAAATAACAGAATACAGAAATTTATGATTGAACTACCAGCATCGAGCTGTCCCATCAGTAAGTAAAACAATTTCGAACGAAAGTATTGTTTTTCAAGTTTATCCCGTTTCGTTTTTAGGTGGCTGATAATAACAACGACAATAACATTTATAATATCGTGAACTTTAGAATAACGAACTGTCTGATCACTACTACGAATATATACAAAGAATGCAACATTGGATTGTAGAGCGCGTTTAGTTCAACACTACAAGGAAAATATCTTGTTTCGTTTACTGTGTTCTGTTACATAATTTCAATCATGCAATTATAACTAGAAGTTGCTCTAAAATTCTATAGAAATTGTATCTCTTCGCATTAAACACTATCGTCTGAGATTAAAAAAAGCAAAGCTTTTAGGAAATGATAATCGAAAACTGCACACCAGGCTGAGAGTTGCAACAAACTTACACTAAAGCGTTTTGTTCTATTGTCTGATGCATGAGTTGAGTTCGAACGAAAGTCGCTGAGGAAATGCATAGGCTGCTTAGGACAATGTGAAAAAGGATTTTCCAATGAATGGTCTTGAATCAACACCAATCGATGCACTAAGTAAGTTGTTAGTAAAGTATGGATACTTATAAAGATTACTGACAATGTATTAGTTACGATTGAATTCATGATATAATCAGAGAATCAATGATGACCATGATTTAGTAAACAAATCTGAAACGATATTCATTATGACACTGTATAGTTTAAAATTCAAGTTACAGTGATTATACACTGTACACACGAAAAAAGATATGCATCAAATTCTTCGTGAAGTTTTTTAAGGTTAAGATGTAGAAGCTGTGAGATTTATTGTTGGCCATCGAAATAGTCCGAATTCGAAACGTAAATGATCACCTCTCAATATTCTACACTGGAACAACAATAATGTAAAAATTTGCATTTGAGACATTCATCTTTCTTCTTGTATTCTAGTTACAACTATCATCAATCGCAGCATAAACATCGGTAACGATGATGGTCACAAAAGATTGAATAATACACAGCATATAAAAATATGTTTTTTTTTCTCTTTGCTTTGCTTTCATCATCAACATTATTTGAAGAGGAAATTCGACTTTTCGAATGATCCAATCTCATCATTTTCATATCAGATAATTTTAGTTATTATAAGTGAAAATATATCCAAAGCATTCTTTATGTAAAATAGTGAAATCTTGCAGGCTTAACTTTTTAGAAACCCCATTTAAAGAATCTCTTAAGCAAGGATGAAACCAGTCATGATAGTTTATTCACACCCGTTCAATTTTGAGTTCTCAATTTTAAAGTATGTAATTTATTGTACTGTATTGCGTAATAACATATTCTGAAGATAATTGATGCTGAGCGTGATAAATTGCAATCGAAACACATGGTATTCAACTTTGAATCTATAATAAATTCAGTGCTTAACGCATCACACCCAGGAAATGATCAAAATAGATTACTACTAAATCGAAATGCCTTTAAATGACTATATTTTTATTATTCACTTGGTAGAGTGATCAAATCTCGCGATAAAACGGCAACGATGAAAAGAACTGATTTTGTGTTATGTTGAGTGATTTTAGGTCATTAGAAAGAATGTCTTCGTGACTTGTTGAACTCAGTGCATCTTCTAAGATGCAACCCATTTCCAGTGCTATTTTTTTTCTCGTAATCGTCCAGGTTCTATCCTTCCTCTTCATCGCCACCCCATGCCAAGGTGTGATAATGCTGTCTCCAACAAGATGCACGCTAATCTTTTCTGCACTACTATGGTCATGGATGGACAGACGCACATGATGTGGAAACAAAAGTCGGACCAGCTCGCTGTAACTTTCGTTACGCATCATCATTATTTTTGCTTTCTCTGCCGCTGGCCGTCTCAGTTCGCCGATATCTTTACGAAGATGTATCTTGAATGCTATATAAACTTGATGAAAATGCGCATCTTCTTTTAATTTTCTGTTTACGCTCTCGACATTACCGCCGTACAACTGTACAATCGCATCCCTCTTGAATTGGTTTTCGGTCGATGATGAGAACATTTGATCTAGTCCAATAAATTGTAGTTGTCCTTGACCTAGTGAGTGTATGTAACGCGTGTAGACAGAGACAGCAACATCAGAAACAGGATACAAGTCGTTGAAAACACGACCGTCACTAACTACAAGAATTTTGCAGCCTGGTGGATACACTTCGGTCACTTGTAGTGCAAATAAATTCAAATTCGCGAGCGCCAACACCTCTCCCATATCGGGAAGTGTACCGATGACCTTACTGTTGGTGTTCCTGCTCTTAAACGGGAATGCAGGCAGAGCCATGGCAATTGTTTGATTCGATATGATGAAGCGTGCAAGTTTGTTCTTGAAAGCGCTCATGCCAAAGGACACCCAAAGATCTTTGATCTTGGACTGACGACGCATTCGCTCAAATAAAACAACGATTCGATCTATGGTAGCATGCTGCTCATCAGAAAGACGAGCCTGTACTTCGGTTGCAGAAAGATGGGCTATTTCATGATCCAAATTGATGAAGATGTCTGGATGACACAAAGTTGCGCTAATCAGATCTCGAGCCATTTCTAAGAGTACCATATCTCCTGGTGTCCACTCTCGTGGAATATTGGAAATAAATGATAGGAAGCCGATAATAATTGAAGGTGCTTTTGGATTTCGAATCGGAACCAATAACAAACTCGCAATATCATTGACCTTGAAGAACTCCAGATCAGTAGATGAATTAGATAGAATTTCACGCGTCACAGTAAAGGCTGTGTCGTTCTGAACACGGCTTATACATGTTGGCAAAATAAACCATTGGCCTTCATTTCCTTGTGGCCATGCGTGTTCCAAGATTATCCACTTACTTTCAATAATATGGAATAAATTACATCGCTGTACCGCCGCTTTCTTGCCCACATGTTCTAAATCAAATCCAGAACTATAGTATGATGAACAAAAAACGAGAAAGGATCATGTCGGATTTCCAAAGAAATTCGGCACAATCCTATATGTTCAAATTTATTTTGTGATTTGTTTTCGTACCAATGATATTCTGCACGGTCTCATGAGCCGCCACCAAGAGAGGATGGCTGCAGGGTTTGAAATCGGGTGTTGACCCATTCGCTACTGTGACTGATTGCATATTGATGTTGTTCACGTCGATAGAGTCTCGATCCGTCGCCTGATTCACAATCAAATTGCAGTTGTACAGACCTGGAAACGTCGAAGACAGAAAAAAGGGCTATTTTCATAGTAACAGGTTTGGGGGAACCGATTACTCCACGTAAACGCTTCATCAGCGCAGCTCTCATGAGTCTCCATGAGAACTTCGGAGTCTGTGTTCAGTTTTTACTACCACTATTACATTTAATTCGAGAAATGCATGTCAACACTAACCTTCGAACTATCTACTCAATTTGATTGCTGACCTATTTACTCTATTTTAAATTTAGTTCTGAGTCTTGTTTCGTAAAGATAACGATGAAATACTGGGAACCCCGTAAATATGATCAATATTTCTTTGTTCATACTATATGTCAACAATAAGGTCAAATATAGTTTATAATTTATAATGCCATCTTCCTCATCAACAGATCAGAAAGAGCTAGACATCATATAACATGAGAGACAACAGCATAAAACATGAAATCAACACATGGCCTATTCGAGTTTTGACTGAATATAATCGTTCCTGATTTATATGAAGATTTACAGTACTTAACCAAATTCTATGATTTTACTACGTTTCAAAAAAACGTTTTTCTAGAAAATCTCACTCGGTCAACCTATTTCAGTGACCTACTTCACAATGCAACCACATTGCATAGTCGATGTTCTTACACTAATATTCCGAAATAAAAAATGACAATTTCACTCTGCATTCACTTAGATCAATGCAAGATATTCTAGTGAACTCTACATTTTCCTAGAATTAATACGATTCGAACTTTGTGTGACTTATGATCGTCATTTTTCTAGCTAAATGGGATTCTCCTTTTACTCAATTCCACGTATTTTCATGATGGTGTTCAGACTTTCTCGTAACTAGATCGATTTCCTTATCTCGTGACCACAACGGACAGAAAACTTTTATCAGTGGATCATGTCGACGGCATCAACAAGCGACGATTTTCAACAGGTCGTGCATGAACTCTGCTCTAATACGTTCGGTAAATGTCTACAAGATAAAGACATCATCATCATCATCATCATCATATATGTAAAACAGAAATTCTTTACTGATGTCTTCGTTCTCCTGATTGTCATATTCGTAATCATCATCGAAGGTTGTGTTGACATTTTGTGTGTAGTTTTTTTGAGAGACATATTAAGATTGTACACGTTTCTTACCGACAGTTTCGTTCGAAGTTTGATTTACAGTGACCATATATGAAAGCTGAGTGACTAGGATTATTTGAAATCGAAAGTAAGACAAAGAATTAATGTCAGTATTGCGAGACTATCGAATCTATAAAAGAGAAATTCTTCATTCATAGATTCAATTCGAATGGGTCAAGTCAGAATACGTCCGCAACTCATAAGTGACAAAATGAAAGAAAGAAACACCATATTTCAAGCGAGTAGAGAAGTAAACAGAAGAACAACATCTCATGCCAAACACACAAAAGAACAATTGATTAAATTCATGCTCAACTTAACAAAGAAAAAACACTCTAATCGAAAAGATCACCGTGTACTTCTTGCTTGTCGAATATGTACGATGAATACTTGACTTTGTCTGAAAGTAGGCAACGACCCATTGTTTACTGAAAAGTTACCTGTACATTCAAGACTGTTGTGTAGTAGATCAATTTGTTCATGTAGGCTATAAAAACTTTTACTGTCTCATATTTGAATTCAATATCAAATTCTGTCCAAACTTGAGTGTCTATTTTGAGAAGATCATTGCTTGAATATATTTTATAACATAATGAAAGGAGCATCGAACAGTTCAGTAGATAACATGGATAGGCTAATGCGAGTGAAATCATCATCACAGATCATGTTTTCTAAAGGGTATTCCTAAATTTCAACATCAGTGTGGATAAACCTAGTCGATTATATTACTTTTCTGGAGAGATTTTTCGAAGATTTTCAAGGCATCCTGTT